TGACTAGTCCTTGTCTGGCTGAGATAGAAGTGTCTGAATGTCATCATACGACTAGTGTTCCTCATTTGACAACTTCATCGAGTTAAACAGGGAATTTGGGTCAATAAATTTGCACTTTAAAATCCTGTTAATATTTTTCCAATTGAAGCAAATTTTCTTCCCTCAGACCCATGATACTAAACCAAACTTAGGATCAACATTCTATGCTGGACTTCTAAATGCGTTGGCATATAATGTTAGAAACAAACTTAAATATCAAGTAACAAACTAATTGAACAAAATGAAGAAATAAAAGAAAGTTTGCATTAAGTGATTAATCTAACACCCCCTCAAAAGTTGGACTATATAAATTACATAAACCTAACTTGTACGTGTTAGTAAAGAAAGACCCTTGATATAAAAACTTGGTGAAAGCATCTGCAAGTTGATTCGAGCTGGATACGGGGAGAAGAAGAATAAGTTAGTTCTGAAATTTATCTCGGATCACATGACAAACAATTTCGATATGTTTGCTTCTTTCATGAAAAGTAGGGTTATTTGCTAAGTAGATAGCTCACTTGCGATCACATTAGATGGAAGAATGCAAAGGCAATATGATGCAGAAATCAGATACTAGATGATGAAGCCATTGAAGTTCACAAGTTAAAGACACAACTGCTTGATATTCTGCCTTAGTATAAGATCTTGATACAATGTTTTGCTTTTTGGATTTCTATGAAATGAGTGAAGTGCCAAGGAAAACCCAATAACCAGTGATGGATTTTCTAGAATAAGGACACCTTCCCTAACCTGAATCCGCAAAGCCATAAAGTTTGATGGAAGCAGTGCTAGAGAAGAAGATACCTTTTCATGGTGAAGATTTGAGGTATATGAGAATGTTTATGGTTGCATTGAAGTGTGATGTCAAAGGTGTAGATATAAATTGGCTCAAGTATTGGATAGAAAAAGAAATATCTGATCTAGTATGAGTGAGGTACATAAGTCTTCCAATAAGTCTTTTATATGAAGTAGGGTCTTCTAGGGGAGTACTTTCATGTTGAGAAAGTTTAGTTGTAGGATTTATAGGAATGAGTGATGGCTTGGCTCCTAAGTAACCTATTTTCTGAAGCAGTTCAAGGGTATACTTTCTCTTATTGACCATAATACCTTCCTCTAATCTTGAAATTTCAAGGCCAAGGAAAAACCTGAGTTGTCAAGAAAGGTTTTAACATGAAGAATTTCAGTCAAGCAATTGCCTGTAAGCACATATCATCAACATAAATCAGAAGTGTTATAAATGAATATTTATCAAACTTAATATAGAAAGAATGGTCAGTTTGTGATTGTATGATTCCCAATACAATTTTGAATACCATTGCCTACTTGCTTATTTTAAACCATGTATATTTTTGAATCTTGTAGACTTGAGGAGGAAAGGATTGATAAGTAGGATAACTAGGAGGTAGAGTCGTATACACTTCTTCATTTAAGTCACCATGTAAGAAATCATTCTTGACATCTAATTGTTGAATATGTCAAAGCTTGATGGAAGCCAAAGTAAGAAGAACTTTGATTGTTGTAAGTTTAGAAACAAAAGAGAATGTATCAAAGAAATCAACTCCATCTAACTAATTGTAGCCTTTGGCTACAATTCTTACTTTATGCCTTTCAATGGTGCCATCAGCTCTATGTTTTATTTTGTAACCCCACCTGCATCCAACAATACTTTTACCCAATGGAAGATCAACAAGAGATGAAGTATGATTTTGATCAAGGGCAAGTAACTCAATTTTCATGGCTAGTTTCCAACAATCATGTTGATAAGCTTGTTTAAATGTCTTTGGTTCAATGTTAGTGTGATATGGAGAAACAAAATGCTTGATAAGAAGATGTACAATGTTAATATGACAGGACAAATGATAAGGGACATGAAGAATGATTATGTGCAACATGATTATTATGCAATACAAAATTAAAATGAAAGTCTTGCAAGTAAGAGGGTTGTCTTATAGCTCTGGTTAATTTTCTCAAGGGTAAGGAAAAGGTAGGAATGTCAGTGGTAGAAGCGTCTAAAGGGGAAGAAGCAGGCATGACAAAAAGAGCATTAGGTTAAGTAGGGGTAATTGTATGGTCAAGGTCTGTAGAAATGGTAGAGGGAGAATTTGGTTGGTCAAGTGAAGGATCAATTGTATGTTCAGGTGGATCAGCCATAAGTTAAGGTGCAGGGTTATCATCTAGCGAATGAGGGATTTGAGAGGGATCTTGCTCACAAATAGAAAATGAAATGATATTTTTGAGTTTCTTAAAAGGGATATGTGTCTCATCAAAGATTACATGTCTAGAGACAAAATGTTATGATAATTGAGGTCATATAGGATGTAACCCATTGGTGCCATCTTTAAAGCAAATGAAGATGGAATTTCGAGCTCTAGTATCAAATTTACTTCTATGAGCTTGAAAGGAAGAGGCATAGAAGAGGAAACTAAAGACTTTGAGGTGAATGATGGAAGGTGGTTCCTGATAGAGCATTTCATAGGGACTTTTGTATTTAAGGAAAAAGGTAGGAAGTCTATTGATAATATGAATGACTTGTTGTATGCTAAAGGTCCACATGTTATAAGGGAAAGATTTACTTGGAAGGAAAGGGATCTGACCATGTTCAAAATATATTGGTGTTTTCTCTTCACCACACCATTCAGCTATGGAGTTTCAACCCAAGGTTTTTAGTGGAATACACCTTTAGATTTTAAAAAAAAGAAAAGAGAATGCATTGAAAATTCAGAACTATTGTCTGTTCTGAAACACTTTAAAGTGATGTGAAAATGATTTTCTATGTAGGAAACAAAGTTAATGATGTTGGTTCTAAATTCATCTTTAGTTTTTCAGAAAATAATCCAGGCAAATCTACTAAAGTCATCTACCAAAGTGAGAAAATATTGATGGCCTAAGATAGATACATCTGGAAAAGAACCCTATAGATCACCATGCAATAGTTCAAAGGGAGCATGAGAAGTAGAAGTGCTTAAAGGAAAAGATAATCTCTTTTGTTTAGCATAATGACAAAAATCACATGGGGACCAAATATTTTTAGTCGATTAAAAGGGAGAATTTTTGAAAATGGCATACAAGCCAATATTAAAGGTGTGGCCTAGCCTATAATGCCATACAAGAGAATTTGTAGTAGAAGTAGAATTACAAGTGAATGATTCAGACCTAACATGTGCAGAGTCCATGACATATAATCCCTTAATCATTTTAGCTATACCAATAATTGCCTTGGTAATGTTTTGCAAGATATGACAAGAATCAAAAGTAAATTGCACTAAACAATTATTAGACAATGCAAGTTTAGGGATGGATATGAGATTGACATGAAATGCAGGGATGTATAAAACATGATGCAATGAGAGTTGGGGTGAGAGACTAACAGAGCCATAAATATGACTTATGTAATGTGTACTACTAGGCAATAAATCACAAATAAAGGCTAAGGTAAGATAAGACACAAAGGAAGTGAGGGTAAAGGTTATATGATCAGTGGTACCAGTGTCTAAAATCCAAATGTTAGGGTGCTTATTATCAGGAGGAGATGACTTGGATGTCAAGGCAAGAGGTGTGCTAGAGATAACATTGGTTGCAGGGTTATGATTGCTTTAAGATTGTTGCAACAAGCCAAGGAGACTGTGATATTGTTCTTGAGTGAAACCAAAGAACTTGGAATTCGAAGATCCTGCAGCAAAAGAGTCATTGTTAGCCTTAGAATAATCAAAAACATTGGGTTGAGGTGCTTTGCCTTTGTTCTTGAACCCTGGAGGATAACCTTGCTTGATAAAGTATCAACTGTGTTGTTTGTTCTTCCACAATGAGTGCATACACGGGTTTGTGCTTGAGGGGGGTCAGTCCATTTCCATTTAGGTTTTTCTTGAGAGGCATTAGCCATAAACAATGTGTGTGCTGAAGAACGACTAGGTGTGTCAGTAGGATGAAAATCAAGAATAGGAAGAGAAAAATCACTTTCTTGTTGGATGATCATAGAAAAATTCGAGTCAATAGCAGGTAGAGAAATCATAAGCATGATTTGAATCTATGTGGCATTGATCTTTTCATTGAGCCCTTTGAGAAATCAGATCATATAATCTTGATCTTGATAAACCTCGAGAAGGAATGGCGTTGCATCTACACTGAATTGCGCATTTGCAATGAGAAATTAGTCGATTATTCTCAAATACATCCCAAAGAACCTTCATATGTGTGAAGTAATATGAAACATCCATAGAGCCTTGGTGTAGCTTGTAGAGTTCCTTCGAAATATCTAAAATACGAAAGATATCACTTTGAGAGAACCTAGTCTTGAGATTCAACCAAACACCCAATGCAAATTTAATCCAAAAAAACGAATTTGCAATTGATGCGCCTTATCTAGGGAGTATACAAAGGATCAGTGGCATTAGGTTTAGGGAGAGTTCTATAGATGAATTTTTCATTGTTCTTAGAGATCAAAGCAATATGCATAGATCTAACCCAAGAATTATAATTACTGTTATCTAAGGGTGGTGGAACAAGATTGAGAGTCGGGCTTTAATGAGGGTGGAGATAATATAGATTTGATGAGTTTGTAGATAAATCTCCATAATTGACAAGAGCCGTTGGAGAAGAAGAGAGGAAGAAAGAGAAAGAATCAGAGTAAAAGAAGGAGAAGAAAGGGAAGAGAAGCAGAAGTTTCTTGTGATACTGTGTTAATGTGGTAACTTGCAATCTGAGGTACTCATTCTCATTATAGAAAAGCAAGGTAAAACTTGCATGAATGAATACAATAATGGATCTCTTTATATATAGAGTCTCCAATAAGAAGTTGGCTAGCAACAAACTTAACAACCAAGTAACCAATTATCTAACTAAACTAATATAACAAAAGGAAGAAATAAAAGAAAGCTTGCATAGCAAGTAAGTGATTAACCAAACAACAATCTTAAACAACAAAAAGTCTAAATTTCAGTTGCTTCATTTTTCCAAAGTGCTGTTCATCGTCGCATTAATGTCAATGGTTTGCTGTGAAATATAAAATCATCCAAAATATTAGTTATATAATGTAAAAGGCTTGCTATGAAGATATGAAAAGGTGTGATGGCTTCACTTACCTAGAGAAAGTTTTTGTTACTGAAATGTCTCTTATGCTTAGTTTATTAAATGCTGATGCAGAATCATCTAGTAGTTCAAATTCAAACAAAGCATCTTCAATAGCTTCATTCAATTTCTTGTCATCATCAGCATTATGGAAACACTTTCTTTCCTTTGCATCACCAACAACTTTTTTCCATACAGAGTTGCTATTAACCAATGTCGTAGCATTTCCTATTATCCAAAGGCAATGCCTAGCCCTAGTGATTGCAACATTAGCTCTCTGTCTATTGGAAAGAAAACCAACTTTTCCACTCAAATTTGATCTAACTGTGGATATGATTATAATGTCTTCTTCACCGCCTTGAAAGCCATCAACAGAACGAACATTAACAGAAAACTTAGGATCTGAAACCATGTACTGCTTCACTTTCTCTTGGATTTCATGAACTTGTGCCTTGTATGGAGATATGATCCCTATGCTAACTCTATTCTTTGTCCTTACAAACTCTGCCAAAAAAACAAAAGGTTACATAATCTATAAGGTACTCAATTAAGCCAAATTTGATTAACAAACATATTCATATAGGAGAAAGAGAAACTAACCCTTTTTAAGTCTTCCAATAATCTCAGAGATAGCAGCCGCTTCAATCACATTCTTCAAACTATGATCATGATTAAACTGCTCTTTACCCTTAGATATGTTAATGAAAGAGTATGAGCCATACATTTTTCCTTCAAGGAAACGTTTGTTATAGCTTGTTTCTCTTACAATCTCAGCATCAGAAAGTTGCTTATCATAGAACTCTTTACTTGGGAACATGCTAATGGAGGGATGCATTCTATATTGAACATTAAGCATATTCTTCTTGTATCCCAACATTACTAGCCTCTCAAATAAGCTTCTTCCAAATTCAGCCCTGTCAGCAATCTGTCGCAAAAACATCATTCATAATCATAAGCAATGATAAAAATGTTACATGCAAAAAGTTAATCTCTTTGTCTCATTTTTTTCTAAGTACCTTGCTTTTGACCATTGCTGGAAGTTGTTTCTCATCACCAATGAGAATACAACGTTTGACGCCAAATAGTTGCAACGGAATAGTTGATTCACATTCTTTAAGTTGAGCAGCTTCATCAATCACTAAGAACTCCACCTGTTTCATTCCTTCTGTGAACAATTTAGAAGAACTTGAAGCTGTACACAAAAGAATACATGCATTCTTCAAGCAAAACTGAGATATTCCATATTTTGTTGTAAGCTTAGGAAGCTTAATAGTTTTTGAAAGAAAACAAAGTGTCTCAAGTAATTCTTTTTCTAAGTTTAACCATCCAAACCAAGCAAAAATGACTTTTGCATCTTCAGAAAAACCATGAAAAGCTTGTTTTAGTTTGCTTTGATTCATGGAAACTTCAAGAGACTTCAGCAACTCAAGAACTCTAAAAATCTTCATCACCACCTTAATTGGAAGCAAACATGTTGGTAATTGAGTAGACAAAGTTTTTATGAATGACTTCAATTTCTTTCCATATACACAGAATCTTTGTCTTAAAAACTGTTCCATACTCATACCAACACTTAACTTTTCATCATCTAGATACATATCATATTGCTCTATAATATAGCCATATCTCTTCTTCACAAAATCCTCCAATCTCATAAGACAGTGATGCTTACACCGTTTCTTGTATGAAAAATATGAACCTTTCACATTTCTGTGATTTCCAGATACAAAGTCTTCTAATGACATAACATTTGCATTCACCCCATTCTTATATAAAGCATATTGCGCTTCAGGATCCTTGAGTAACTTGATCATTGATTCCAAACTATTTTTCCATCCAGTCAATGGGGAAAAACAGTATAACAAATCGTCCACTCTATTATCCAAAAACACTTCATTAAGACCTTTATAAGAATCTATTTTCATTCTTTTACCATTTCCAAAGAGAACTATGTCACCAAGACCATATGAACCATGCTCAAGTGAATCCTTAGCTATGTTGTGAAGGCGCGACGCCACAGCCAAAACTGCAGTATTTGTTGGAGCACATGTTACTGTCCTGATTCTTAACTTGAGGAGACAAAATAGCATTGAAGCAACTGTCTTTGTTTTTCCAGTTCCTGGGGGACCCCATATAAGTTTTATAGGATCATTGTGATGACACTTGTTCATATGAAGACAGCTTGCAACAGAATCTTCCTGAGATTTGTTTAGATTCTGAGCTTTGATTAGGGCTTTCACTCGGGAATAGGCTCGACTGAAATTCATTCCGGACAGACAAGCAGGACAGTTTTGTTCCAACTGTAACATATAATGAATTAATGAAATCACAAAACTAATTATAACAATATCAAAGAACAAAGATTAGTCTTGTTAGCAAAGTTTTAAATAGAGGTTGCAGTAGCGCCACAGTTGTTAAAAATACAACTGATAGTTGATGCAGCCACAATTTTAATAAAAAACACAACAAAAGTCATGAGGCCACATCAACTGAATTTGATCGCGATTTGCAGCAATATCAAGAAACATGTTGCATGTGAAATCTAGAACTTTGACTATAAGACCTGAAGGAAGCTCACAAAAGCATATGATGAATAAATAAATTGGTGATTCTTACCCCTGAATAAGGCTGCAACACTTCTTTAATTACATTCACGCTGGATCCTTCCATTTCCAAGTTCAAGGCTTTCCAAATTCGAACATTTGTGGTCATGTTTACGAGATAAACAGCATAGAGTTTCTGAGCTTTGTTCGTCCTCAAATTAAAGTTATTATTCATCTCCTTGGACAACAGTATAATAATCTCATCAGTAAATTCATCTCTTGATCCACAAATATAAGCCATATGACAGTATCTTTTGATCCTGCTCAAGTCATCCACACTTTTCGGTCGCATATTTGTGAATGCAATGAGGTCACCAACCTCGGGCTCATATTTCCCTGCACCGTACACTTCATCAGTAATGTTCTTCAATGTGATTTTATAGAACAAGTCGAACGGAGGATTGAAATCCTTTGATGTTTCCATTGTCCTAATTTCGCAAAAAGAAGCTTGAGGAACATTCAACAAGCTTGAATATAGATCACTATGTGTTTCCTCAATCAATGCAGGAAAGAATGAATTCATGTAATCTTCTGTTGAAGAGAATGTTTTTGGAATCTTCGGTACCTGTGTGAAATTTAACAGCATTTCAAGTCTCCTTTACTAGGACATGGAAAATTCGTTATAGCTAGTAGCTACTAGTATGATCATATATGGTAGAGAAAATTTATGATTATGTTTTGAAGAAATTTGAGCACTTGAAAATAGAAATATATCTGACCGTTCATATTTGCAGGAAAATGAATATTGAAAAAAGAACCTGGAATTTGAAAAGATTTTCATGGAGAAGATCGTCAAGAGTCCAAGAGAATACAATATCTATTAAGCTTGCGCGACGAAGACATTCATCCATGGTATGACATCTCTTTTCCATTTTTGTTCCTTAATTACTGAATCAATCTGCATACCACAACCAATATCATCATGCATAGGTTCCTTAGTTATGAACAAATAAAAACACAACAACAAAAAAACATGCTGAAAAGCTTACATATATATGCATATGCATGCATGATTAAAATGAAAAAGAAGCAAAAAAGAAAAAGAAATGAAACCTAATAGAGTTGAGGAGTATTTAGAGAAATAGAAAAAGTAGTGTAGTATAAGACCCTCTTCAATTCACACCAAGTGAGAGTAGCTATAGAACTAGAAAGACACTGGTTACAAAGGTTGAGCATATTATAGACTAGTAGTACTCTTTTGAAATATAATACCGTACATTACAAACGTCACTCATAATCTCATACTAGTATCTTTTGGATTCTTTTGGTTTCAATGCATGAATGGAATTATGGCGCACAATGTTTTGTGAGTGGAATATCAAACGGTCACACGTCTTAAAATGTAGTAATAGCTCTACAAAAATTACTCCATAATAATTGTCACAATAACATTATCACTTAAATTTTCCAACGCATCATTAATTTTTTTTCACAATTAGGGACAATAAAAAAAGTAACAAGTTTAGTACATACGTGCTCATTAAGTCTGGTCGTTTGAATTATTGGAGTTTGGTTCTTCTTCTTCTCTTTTTGAAAACTTTTTTCTTTTTACTTTGGACAAATTTTATGTACAATGCAATCAACCTCACCATGCATTTTAGTCCTTCTCACCCATTTGATCAACCAATCAAAGACTTTAAAATAAAGCCACGTGTCTTTTCTTTCTCATTAAGTTTCTTTTTTTCAAACATTTTCAGTACTTTTTCTGCTGCTGCCCCAAATCTTTCCATTCTCATTTCACGGATTTTGTGTTAAACGAGTAATATGATAGAGAGTTATTTAGTAATATTAATTAGATATCTTCGTATATTTATAAACAACAAAAATATTTTAATTTTTAGTCATTATTGTAAGTAAAAGTTAATTATTATTAAATTATTTAATGATATAATTTCTAATATATCTCTTTATTTTATTTTCTAATATTCTATTAAATTTAATAAAGATGATATTATAGTAAATTTAATTAATATTTTCATCAAAATCTAAAAAGTTAACTACACTTGATTGAATTTCTTAATAACCGTGAAAACAATTTTTATTATTTAGTTATGATGTATTTAGAATCCTATATATTGAGGTGTAATGTCTTATTTGGAAATCAATCAAGAAATCAAATGAAAAATTATTTTATTCCTTTTATTTTATTTAGTCAATTTAATGTTCTTCCCCTTTAATGTAGAAAACCCTAGTTCATAGTTTTGATAGGAATCTTCTTATCAATTGGTGCTTTCATCCATGTACTCAAATCTTCCTATGGGTTATCCTTATTATACATCTTCATATCATCAATGGAGTATTCCTCCTACCTATCCCACAAATCCCTCTTTTCACTATGCCAAAACAAGCATATAGACAACGTTTTTTTTTGCCATAGACAACGCTTATAAGCGCTGCCTATTCCTGCGCTATTGTAACCTTAGACAACGCTTTTAGTCTATGTGAAAGGGCTGCTTAATGTAGACCTTAGACAACGCTTTATTGAATAAGCACTTTCTAAAGGCCCTTATAGGCAGCGCTTTAACAATGTAAGCGTTTTCTATAGTGTGCCTATAACAACGCTTTCACTTTAGACAGCGCTTCCTCAAGTGTTGTCTAAAGTGAAAGCGCTGCTATAGGCACACTATAGAAAAAGTGATGTCTAATATATTCTTTCTTCTTTTATATTTTAGACAAGCATTGTCTAAAGTCCCCTTTTAGGCAGCACTTGTTATTTCATGGGCAGCGTTTTTTTGGTTTAAAGCGTTGTCTCATTCTGAATTCACTACAAGAAAAATGATAGATTGGGACGGTTATTTTGGCTGATTACGACGGTTAAAACCGTCGCAATTTACAATCTACGACGGTAGAAGTACCGTCGCAGAATCGTGCGTCCCCAGCCTATTTCGCGACGGTTGCAAAAACTGTCACGCACAACAGATAGCGACGGTTATATACCGTCGTGAATTTGACTTTATTTTTTGTTTTTGTTGTTGTTTGCGACGGTTATTCTATCGCCGTAGGTTAGAAATTGCGGCGGTTTTAACCGTCGTAATCTGATTTATAAATTTCAAATAATATTTTTATTTAAATTATTATTTAGTAAAATAATTTTAAATATAATATTATTTTACTATAATATTTTACTATTATATTTAAATTATTATTTACTTTAATATTTTTTTATTTATAGTATTTTTATTTTATTTTCTATCACTTTTCAACATAATAAAGTTAATTACAATAAAAACATTTAATATCAAATAATCATCAATAATATCAAAAAAATGTGATCAAAGGTAAAAAGAAGTGCAAATTTTACCAATAAACAAGAAAAATTCAAATATCATCAAAGGCCAAATTTCATTTTAATATTTACATTGGTTTGCTACAACTTGAGAGAATTACAAAAAATGTTACAATATTCTACAAAATTCATGAAAGTCCTTAGTGTTAAGTGATTTTGTGTTAAACTTCCATGCTAGGACCATGATCCTTCCTTGACTACCATTTGGTCCAAGCTACGCATACCTAGCAGCCTGCAAGATTCACACAAAACATATTTTTGTACTCACAAGAACATGTGGCAGGTTTTTGGCATCATAATATGCCTCAGATGGCTTAGTCAATGTCTTTGTGATGACATGTTTTTCCAATTCTACTTGTCCATTTTGCGCTTCTTCTTGTACCTGCATTACAAAACTAACTGTCAATTATGGGCTGGCAGAATAACTCTCACAATCAAACTCCAATTGTATGAAAAGTTATAAGGTACAGAAAAATCAACTACAACAAAATCTCCAATAAAATAAAATTCACTTTCCGCTAAGGAGAAACCTAATCAAATTTGGATATGTATCAAGGCGTCTTGGCGACAAACTTCCCTGTTATAGCATTTGAATTTTCAGCAAAGTGTAGGAAGCTCAAAGATCCAAGTATATTTCTTTTTAAATTCTACAATCGCATGCGTTTACGATAAGAAAAAGTATGATACAATAAGACACCACAAATATTTACTCTTCCAATTTAAAAAAGAAAACATTAAGTTAAGTTGGGGCATTTTTAAAAAACCATTGATGTTAATAATCGCATAACAGATCTTTGTTGTTTGACATAACAGAAAATATGTGAACTTGTATCTGTAATGCATGCGAGTTTTTTTACCATAGTGAAATTATTATAAAAAGTAACATGAGTGTTATACTTACATTCAAAAAGTAAAATTGGAAAACATTTCCAAACAACATGTAGATCAATAAAGAATTTGTTGTGCTTAATTGACAAATACCTCAGGTTTCTTGATATAGTAATTTGAGTGGCAGCCATATAACATTGCCAATGCTCCGTGTGAAGCCATGGCTTTTTGCGTGAAAGAGTGAACACCCTGCTCCAGTCTTATGATAGTCCGCTTAGTTTCTTCGTGTTGATATATTGATACTAAATTGTAATCAGAATATAAATTGTTAATCTATAATAATGTCAAAAGAAAACGATGAATTACACAAGCAAATTAAATTAAATTTTTATAGAGACATGTGGATTTTTTGTTCTTTTGATAGACATAGGTTATGGCAAAAAAATTCACGAGAACTGAGCCTATCCATTGCCCAAATAGCTGAAGCACCCTCACATACCATGAGATAGCATAAAAAATGCAACAGGAAATAGAAGTGTTCTTTAGTTGAGCCACTAATTAATACTAGTTGTCTCTTTTTTCAATAGGAAATACAAAAGCAAATTAGCAAGTAGCACAACCCAATAGTATTACCTTCTTCATTCTCATGTATGAGCCATATATTTCATTACCATGTATCTATCGTATAAAGTTGTATGTTGCAATGTCACGACTATTAACAAGTCTTGTCTAGTTACGACACTAGTCTGAAAGGAACTTTCATAAAACTAAATAAACCAATTTTATTCCCAAAAAAAAAAATAGTAACACATAAACTTTTTGGTCTCAGAAGGAACTTGACAAAAAAGTATACTAACGGGGTTTAAATTTTCTATTGGGGTGAGGGGGAGCGTCATAAAAGCATTTTTCAATGGATGAACGAATTTACATGTAAAAACAAAAACACTATAAACCTAGCATTTACCAATTTAAGTGAAGCGAAAAGTTTCACCAAGCTTACATTTTTCTAAAAGCTCTTCAGCAAACTTTAACATTGCATCATTCTCCTCGACAAACTTTGCATATCTTTCTGTCTCCTTGACTGCCTCAGCAGCCAAAAATGACTTATTCTCTGCATCAGAAATGACTTAATACAATGTTGCATATTTCCTGTCACTACTATATGGTTTCACAAACTTTGTTTTTCATGCATTGTATTAATTTTGGATATATGTTTGGACAAACTTTTCCACAAGTAGTTATAGAACAGAAAATCTTCAATATGAAATCGACAAAGTTTTAAAAAAAGGGTTATCTTACCACTCTGTCTGTTAACATGATAATTTGATCAATAGACAACACTTCAGACATGAATGCCTCATTCTTAATAATGACACCTTTCGGTTCTCCGGTTGTTCCACTTGTGTACATTATTGTGCAAATGTCAGTCTTCTTTTTCAGTGGTAGATCCCAATCTAAACTTCCCTGAAGCAGTTGAAAACAAGCTTATCAGTTCAGTTTTAGCAAACTGTTGTAAGAGTTTGATTCTTCTTGAATCGAACCATGAACGTTCATAGTAACCGTGACTGTAACCACAGTTTAAAACACTAATATCTTACCAACTGGAGAAACTCTTCCCAGGAGAAGCAGGACGCGCCAAATTCCTCAGCTTCCTTCTTTTGTGCGGCTGAAACATTTCCAAAGCTCACAATAGCTACAACATTGATTTAAACAGGTTAGTCTGCATTAAATGTAGTAAAAAAAAAACTTAATCTTAAA